ATGGATGGATGGATGGATGGATGGATGGATGGATGGATGGATGGATGGATGGATGGATGGATGGATGGATGGATGGATGGATGGATGGATGGAAGAGGTATTATTACAAAGGCACTCTACTTAATCAGTAACAACACAAAAATCCGATCGTATAGTTTTATTGATGTGTACTTCAAACAAGATTTATAGCGCCTAGTGACTTGTTTTATACTGAGCGTTAATGATAGAACAGATGCCGATAATGATATCAATACCATAACGATACTGGACTGAGAGTAGAATGATATATTGTCTATCAATCCTTCGCTATTCTTTTCAAAATTGCTTTTAACTTGATTTGTTTTTCAATTTGTTTTAAGTTTCTTTTCCTCCCGAAATCTTTACTTTCTTGCTCGTTTAGATAAGTAGTTTTGTTCGTATCATTCAGTAAAAAAGTGGCTGCACTCTTGAGTGTCGTTTAATATCGTGAAAGTTGTTTAATCAAAGGTAGATGGTCTAGAGTGTGTACCAGATATGTTTTTTATTAAGGAATATATAAAACACACGCGCATCTGTACCGTGATATAAACAAGCTGGGAGCTGTAGAGCACGAGAAAAGCAAGCATAGGAACACGAGACGTAGCCAAGCGTTTCTTTCTCTTTTCGAGTGCTCTACAGTTCCCAGAGTGTTTACATCAATACAGAGACATAAGCAACTGTTTTATTTTGCTTTTATAAAATGTTTTTGAACTAATTTGGTGGTGGGTGGGCGGTCCAGGGCGTGCACCGGTTTGTTCTATAACCTTACATAGGTGGTCCAACCATGTTACGTTCAAAGGGAACTCCTGCAATCAGCTTGAGGCTGAACTAGATTTGCCTAAAATAGACGCTTGGCTGGCGTCACTTCCTGTTCGTCTCCTGTAATTACTGTTTATAGTGTCCTCCTTCACAGGCCTTCAATTACATTACTCTTGTATTAAGAAACCAGAAACATCAATACTGGTGAGAAATGAGCCTATTTATAACAATGATATTCGGCTTTGTTTTCCATATCAAATTCCCACGCCAATGCAGTTGCCAGTCGATGATATGATACATCCATGAGGTCCATAAACAAAAAGCAGAAAACTTCCAATGGCATTCCTCTTACTTTACGAGCAATATTTCATTGTCTTCTTTCTTTCTTTTTTTCTTTATTTGCACTCATGATATATACTTCATACTTTACAATAACAAAATAGATGATAAATCAACAAGTAAAATATAGATAGTGAGAAAAATAATTATGAGGTGCTGGGGAGCTGAAGTAACAAAAGTTTTCGAAGCCAGCTCCCCATCATTCACTTATAAATGACAATATTAAATATGATATACAGATACGTGAATTGCTTAGTAGTAAAATGAAAGAGATATACAGAATTAGTCATATGAATCCAAACAGTTATTTTTCAAAGTTTTAGAAAACAGTGATCGTGAGCTTTAAAGTCCAGAAAAAACATTTTTCATATTCTCTTTTCCAAACCTTCTCATCATTTATCAAAGACGAGTTTAAACCGAGTAAACTCCGAAAAACTACGCGAACTCACCTGTCACCGAACTCAACCGATGATGAGCGGATTAGGATCTTATCTCAACATTTTGAGGAAAAATGACCAAGCTATATTTAACCAATTAAAAATTTTATGGAAGAAAATGTTAAAACTTCCTGCAATCGCACTAGAATGGGGGGAAAATTACGCTCGTTTTTCCGCATGAAAACATCTCTTGTGCCAATGTTTATTAGCTTTTTTGAAATTTAACTTGTTTGAATAGATATTGTAATCTTTGCAACTTTTGAATTTTCGCGAGTAGATGTTAATGTCGTAGTGGAAGTCATTTGAATCCAACCTGTTTCGGGAAACGTAGAAGCAATCGCCAAATTTTCAACATTTTAATCATATCTCTAAATTATCATTCATTAGCAAAACTAATATGAAGGCAATTTTGAGCTGTTTTCTCTAAACTGATCCTAACAGGGAAAAATCTGTTTGTTCCGACTGCCCGATGTATTTACCTTAGGCCCGCGAAAATATTCCTTCGTAGCAAACACAGAATCAATGCCATAATTGAATTTTCTCCTTATAATGAAATCAATACCTTCAACGGAGATTTTCTTTGAGAAGTTTTCTTTTTTCTTCAGCTGAATGTCGCAGAGCTCTATTTTCTTTCGCTACAATTAATTTTTAAGCGCGCTAATTAATTTTGTACTATTATGTAAACTCCATCCGACCTTTGACGTGAGTTTCGGAGATTGGTTTGCGCGTTTAATCAAGGCATTATGATCGTAGCCAACACAATATTTACTTAACTTCACTTCTCTCGGTTTGTATTCATTAATTTTTAAATTAACGTATCTTGAGACAACAATTCGTACGATTCAAAATGAGAACTTTTGCTTTAAAACGTTTTGGCGAAGAGATGAAAGAATCGCGCTTGGTTTTTAAGTCATCTTTTTTTCTAATCCACTGGATTAGGAAAGCATGTTTTTTAGCGTAGATAGTAACAAAGAATATTTTCGACGGCTCACTTCCGTTGATTCAGTCAAGGATTCCGGATTAAAGAGTTTTGCAACCAAGCAACAAAAGGTTAGCTTGGAGTGAATTCAATCCGCGCGCTATTGTTTAGTTCCATGTCCAGGCTTCTATAGTTTCATAAAACATCAAGTCTCAAGTTACACCCCAACTAAGAGGTCGAGCATGGGAAGCATTGCCAGTAACTGATTTTCTCTCTATGCTTTGACAACTCAGGATCATTGAATGATTACCTTAGAACAGCCACAACGAAACCGCATGCTTCGAGCTAGAGGCAGTCAGTTGTCAAAAAGGAGTGCAGTTTGAAGAAAAAATAAAGGTAAGCTTAAACGTTTTATAAAGTAGTGAGAGAAACCACTAGAGTAAGGAATAGAGAAGTAGTGCGCTGTCAAAACATCGATTCTATTTGTACTGCCAAGCACGCAGCCAGCCACAGTTCGACCCATCACTGTCCGCGAACAATTGGAGATGATTTATTCACAATTACTCTCATTGCTTCTATTGTTTTCGCTCATTAACTTAAAATAACTTTTTCTCGAGGCTAATTTAAGTATTTTTGGTACAAACTTGGGTTATATTTTTGACATTTAAAGCAATTACGCAAGTGAGGTTACTTTGTCAAAATCTTCGCTTGCTTTGTGGTCGATCATCGATCGATGGTTACTAAAAGTATGTAGTTTATTTTTTGGAGTTTATAAAGTGTCCGCGTCTCATCTAGTCCTCCGCCTCTCCGTATGACTTCTCGTATTTTCCAAATCAAATATCCTGCTAGGCAGTAATGAAAATAAATCCAGTACACACACTTAACAAAATCGTTGCCTTCTTCTGGTTTCTCTGCAATGTCCATGCGTGGACTAGCTCTGCAGAGACTTGTTTAACTTGATATTACAAAAATAGCCGCATCAGAACTTGATAATAAAGATAGATTTAGAAAGATACCAAGATCAATTCGCTCGCTTTCTACGTAATAGAGACCGATGATTTTGGAGAAAGAAATAAGATTAGTATACAAGATACTTGTTGGATTATGACTGAAGACTTTGAAATTTAGATGTTCTTGCTCCAAGTTTTGTGAGTTAGAAATAGATTGATGGTCTTACGATAAAGCACTTCGCAAAACTTCTAGTTTTCCAATTTATTAATGAATTATATGAAAGACTAAATTAATAAGCTGATTAAAGACTGACTATGAGATAAGGAAAATAGATACCTATTTAAAAAGGAGTTATAAATCAAATTACATTTTGCACTTATTACATGACCAAGTTGCCGGGAAACGAAAACGCTGTTTACTCTAAGGTATTAGTATTCTTCTAAAGTTAATTTGAATATTTCTGAGGCAGTCTTTTTAGTTTGATAAAAAGTCTAAGGATTATCTATGCGGGATTTTCTATAGAGCTCTAAATAGACCGTGGGGGTCAAAAGGGCTAGATTTTCACTTAACACTAAGAAGGAACGTCCTTGATGGTAGAAGTCATCAGACAGTACAATGTTGTAGGATTATAACAATCACGAACTAGTAGCTGTCATCGACGCCCTGTAATCAAACAATGTCTTATTTTCCTGGGTTAATGGCCGAGATATTCGTCTTCGTCTAGTCGGTTGTCGTGGAGCTTTGTTCAAAATGACATTACGAGTTCTGAGTTGAATGGCGTTCGCGATCAGAGTCACAAGACAAGCCAAAAAAAATGTCAGGTGTGAGTCTCCCTTTGTCTTCGAGAGCGTAAATCCGTAAAATGGCTGTCAAAGTGTGAGCGAAACCCTTGAACTCTTCTGTCTTGTACAAACAAGTCCCTGTAGAAAGATTCGTATGTAGTATTTATTACAAAAATGTCTTGCGCGTTTGTGGTTTCAAACTGTCCTAAATTACTCGTATGAATCCAGAACATGACATGGTGAAAATAAAGTTATAAGCAAAGTAACATCAAATATTCCCCTTCCTCCCTCCCCTCCCCTCCCTACAATTTACAATTAACTCACCGAAAATTTCATGGAAATTTAGACTTAAACGATTAGCAATGAAAATAAACTCTCTACAAGAAACGGCCTGTCCCGCTCGGCTTGTCCTGTCGGTCCTGTCGTGTTGGCCAGCTTAATCTTTCAAAATCCAAAGCCTAGAATTTGATCCAAAAATCATTTCTCACGACATAATTAACGTCAGGTTCTAAACTGTCGTGTACCATAGGTTTATGCTTCTGTTTGGAGTTCATTTGGCATATGGTCTTAAGCTCATAGTCAAGTCATGTCTTTGTATGGGTCAATAAAAACATGTTATCAGTGTTGTACCAATGACCAATGATGTTATAATATGTCCTAGATATATCAAAAATAAGTTCTCTAATTGAGTTGCTAAAACAACAACATCTTAATACGACTGACAGGCCCGGCCAGGAAACCACAACGATCTTAATAGATTACAATTCCCTTGGATAAACAAAAGGAAAAGGCATTACTGTATTTCTTTTTCAAAATTCCGGTGCTGAATACACGTGGAAAACGTGCAATACCGTGACCGTGAAACGGATTTCTGAACCCACCATTATGATTGAATGATGTAGATATTCTCGGGTTTTGATTGATTCGAAAGGGAAACCATGCCATGCCTTATTATTAGCCGTGCCATGACTTAGATCAACCCAGAGGTTGTTTCAGGGATCGATCTGTGAGTTAGAACCATGCACTGACTTAGATCAGCCCAGAGATTGTTTCAGGGTTTGATCTGTGAGTTAGCCATGCCTTGACTTAGATCAGCCCAGTGGTTGTTTCAGGGTTTTCGTTAAAGTTTGCTGATACAATATACACCAAAACTGTTAGATGTTTTAGTGAGGTGTGGTTGTAATTAAGTGCTATGTGGTTCGTGGTGGAGCCAAGAGGAAGGATAAAATAAAAAACCGCCGCGACTTGCGGAAGAGGAAATGCGCAAACAAACAATTCAAAAACCTCAATCCTTCTTCCTAACGTTAATAAGGTGCTGAAGACCAGTCTGTCTTGTTACCGTAGCGCTAGCCGCAATAGACCATTTTCGACGTTCCAAATTACCGCTGTGTTCCAAATTACCTTGATTACAGACTCAATTTCTCAGGGTTAGTCTCGTATCAGTGTCTAAATATTCACAAATTCCAACAGTAAAGTAAAGAATGCACCACTTCAAAAATACAAACACTTTTAAATTCAACGGATTTTCACTGAATGGAACACATGAATATGCTACACAACATAGAGGCTAGCCCTGAGCAATAGATAACTCGAAATTGGAGTACGGACAGCGCGGGTGGCGTACGTTGCTAATGCGCGGCAGCTGCTTTCATCACACATGGTCATGGGTGCGATCCCTGGATTTGGGGTCGTATGTGAGTAGAGTTATTTGCTGGTTTTCTCCTGTGCTTCAAGTCTTTTCTCCGGGTTCTCAGGTTTTCCTCATTTCGCGCTAGACTATGTTTTAACTTCTAAATCAGTCTAATATGAGGGTCAGAGGTTTGCTAGCCACGCTTGTGATGGCCTAATTAATGTAAAACTAGCTTTTATAGCTTAATTGTTTTTTTTYCCATCGGTAAAAAAAGTTATTATTATTAGTAGTATAAAATGCTGCGCTCACAATACAAGAACGAAAAAATATTCCACTAGTTTTTCCTTGTTCTAATAACATTGAAATACCCCAAGTCTGCCATTGAGCTAGTTTGATGTGAAATATGGCGAATATCGTGTCAGTAAGAATAATTAAAGAGTCTGATTCAATCATAAAAGAGAGGAYGAGAGAGATGAGTGACAATACACGACCGGTTCACTCCACACCCTAAGTGTTCGCCCTCACGCATCACATCACCCATGTAGATTACTGTACCTCTGGATCGAGACGCTAGACTTTGAAGGGAATAGGCATCTTTAGCTAGGCATAATGTTTTCGCATTTCAGACCACGTAACATTCTCTTGAGAAGAAGATTCTTTATTTGAGTTGTATCCATATTCATATGTTTTCTTATGTCAAACTGTTAAACAAAGAAAGGATACTCTAGGGAATGACACGTGGTCTGTAATGGGAAAACATTACGCCCAAGGGAGGTAAAGTAGTCTAATATCATTGTCAAGGCGCTAGACTTTACTCTTGTGTGAGCGCTTTAATTTTATTTCCTGCGACCTCGACCAGCCAGACGTCTGGGTTTTCGGCTTCCGTCAAAATTCAAAAATTCAGAGCATAACTAACTAACTAACTAACTAACATAAAAATGAATTGGAATTTATTTATAGCGTGTTTATGTTTTGTAGAGAGAGGAAACCGAAAAACCCGGAGTAAAATTTTCATATCCGGAGAGATTTAACAAAAGAACAAAGGTATTTGCCCTCAAAACTGATACACGAAAGGCAAAAAACAAAAAGAAACAAAAAAAA